GAAGCACCGCGTCGCATTCCCCGGAACCAACGTAAAGATCAAATCATTAATCAAATTATATCTATATTTATATATTAATAACCCCTTTTTATTTTATCATCATCTTCAGTGTTTTTCACCTCTCATATACATATTGAATGAATTACTCCTGTTATTGTCAATTGATTTTGAGATAGATATTATAAATATTAATATGATATCAGAATCCAAATCAGCATCCGATCCAAAATGGGATCTGACGAAGATTGAACAGCGAAAAAACTACAGTCTTGAAGGGACATGATAGACATTACACTACTCCTCTCATTTTTAGTTAGTTTTGAAATATAAATCCATGAATATTGATAACCTCCCTCGCATTGTTAATGTTGCTAACAAAAATTCACGTTCGAACATGAGATCTTCTCTATTTTGAGTTGAATCAAAGTTTAACCCAAGTTAGTAGCTTTAAGCTTATACATTTATGGTATGATAATGATATCATGTTAAATCTAAAAATGGATAATCCAGCAGCTTAAGTTTGTACATTTTTTCTTTTAACGTTCTTCTTCTTTTTGACACCATATTATTCTCAATTGAGAAACTTAAGTTCTGATAATATTCTTTTAATTAACATGGGTACGGCCATTATTGTTTAGACGATGAGTTTTTGTTTGGTATAGGGTGCAGAAAGTGGAGGGGCCAAAGGAAAAGCTGATCGTGATGAAGGGACGTCGGCCGCGGCGGCGATGAAGCTTCCGAACTGATACATGGGATTCCGGTGCGGTGGCCGCCGGCCGGCGGCAGTTCGAACTTGCTTTGGCGTTTGCTAGCATTTTATTTCTCCTTCTTGTCTGTTGTGTGTTTAATGAAGTTATATGTGTACTCTCACGTGCCTTGCACACGTGCTTTTATAATAAAGAATGCTTCTGGTTGACGTGACATCGTTTTATTTGTTCCTATGTGAGAGAAAATATTTAGCTTCATGATACTCAAAAAAAATTAATAATAAATATTTAGCTTCATTTACAAACATTAATTCTATAATTATATACAAAATAGTTAAAAGAAGAAAAAATTCCAAAATGTGCTAACTGGTTGAACACTAACAACTTTCCTAAAATTTAAACATTTAAATCTTAACTTTTAAACTTCGTTTTACCTACAACCAAACTTTACTAATTAATATACCAATTAAAAAAATAATTACTTAAGCCATCAAATTGTTGATGCAATTGGTTTTTGATATAGTATATTGGTTATAATTTGTTCAAGTGATGATGATGAAGAATATAGTGTGGAGTATATTTGAAAATTTGCATTTATATGATATTATGTCATCATTTTGAGTGTGTAGATTTCATTATGCGACTTTCAATATAACTTACTTCATGGTATTATATTATAACATGTTCAATTTCATTTCCAATCTCAAGGAAACATTTTTATTTTTGAACCATGATAGATTCATGATCCCGAACTAATTATGGTAAATTTTTACTAAATTTGTTTCTTTCGTTACACAGCCGTTAATTAACGAACAAAATCTAATTATTTAATACTTTTCTAGTTTTGTTATCGCTCTCAATTGTACGTTTGTCAACCAAAACAATAATTGTTGTACTCTGCGGGCAATAAATCTCCATTTTTGTCATTTAATTTTAAAAAAAATGATACATTTTGTCGTCGAGCGAGAGGATAATTATATTAGTTAATATCAAATTGAGAAAATTAAAATGGAAAGATATTTTTGTATCAAATGCCCTTTTAATATAAAATCAAAAGTTGTTAATTGTGTTAATCAATATCTAGAATGGAACCATACACATATCAATGGGAAGAACTATAAGTGTGCGAATATTTGGAGGATTAGGTAACTTTTATCCATTTTTTTTTCTTTTAGGTTTTTTTTAATTATTATTATCTCTTTATATTATAAAAAACAACGAACCGGTAGGCGTGCTTGAACAAAGAGAGGAGGGGAGCTAAAAAAATAAAATTAGTAATTACATACCTTATAAAAAAAATAAAAATTAAAAATTAATTTTGGTAATGTCATCGTAGTTCCAAAATGTTCATTTTAGTCCCTACACTTTTAACTTTTATTTATTTTAATCCTGATACTTTCAAAATATTTATTTGGGTTCCTGTACTTTTTAAAAGTCATCCTCTTTAATTTTTATTTTCAAAATTTTAACACAAATTTACATGAAACGGAAACTCTTTAAAGTAATAGTTACATTTTAAGAAATATATTAAGTATAATGTCGTGTTGAAATTGTGATGGAAAAAATGAAATTAAAAATAAAATTTAAGGATAAAAATGGTAACTTTTAAACATATATGGATTACCGTTATAAAATGAACAAAGTTAAAAATACATCAACACAAAAAAAAATTAAAAAGCATAGCAATTAAAAATATAGTAACCAATTAAAAGACATATTTTTAGTAGGGGTGTTCATGGGTTAGGTTGGGTCGGGTTAGGTGGGATCTTGGGACCAACCCGAATTTTCGAGTTGGCCATATATAGGAACTATCGGGTTTGAATTGGATGGTCCAACCCAACATCTTTGGGTTGGGTTTTGTTGCGTTGTTTTTTTTTTTAATTATCCCGACGACGACAAGGAATTGGGATTAAAATTAAATAGGCAACTAAGATTAAGATACAAAATGGAAGAAGATAATAGAAAAACTTAAATGGAAGGTTAGAATTAAAACTAAATGGACGATTGACATTGAAGATAAAGATATTATGTGTATATATATATATATATATATATATATATATATATATATATATAATTAAAAAATACACATATATGCATAAACTCAGGTTGACCGATTTTTTTAAAGTTGAACTGGAGACCCAACCCAACCCGATGCTTCATCTAACC